TCTGTTTTGTTTTACTTATGTGTGGAGGAATCCTGGCCGGGGCTGGTCACTGGGAGGGCAAGGACTATGTCCCCCTCGTTCCTTCTCATCCCAGAGCTCAGCCCTGGGCAGCCCATCTTGGGCCCCAGTAATGATCCAGTGCTTCCAACCCCTTTGCTGAGATCCAGCCCCAGTGTGAAAAGGCTTCCTGCTCATCTTCTTCAATCTATTGTTTCTCATGGTAATCTAGAAACCTGAGTGGGTTCTGATCCAAGGTCACAGGAGAATAGGGGGGCTCCTGAAGTCACTGAAGTTTCCCCTCATCTCTACTCTGGCTGCCTTGGTTCAGCTTTTCTCCTGCAGAAGATGCTTCTTTCTGTTTACAAGTCCTGCTCTGCTGGACCAGGCGTTTTTATTCTTGTTGTGGCATCCCTGCACTTCAAAGGGGACCTGGAACTTGTTCCTGTGCCCCTGAAGTACCCATCCATGAATGATCAGATCAGAGCAAACCACTCTGCCAGGAATCAGCAGGGGGGAGAGTCACATCTCCCTCACCTTTGGGTTTAGACCTGTGCATTCCAGTGTGTTCCTCCGTGGCATATGTGCCCATTCGTGTTTAAATAAATGAAAAATTCATAACCTCCTCACAAGAGCCATACTATAAGTTCCCAGTTGCCAAATGTCTACTCTTAAGAGAGCATCTCCATTCTCCCTGAATCACCTGGGAAGCAGCTGCTGTGAGTCTGGCCCAGATTCTGTTCACTGCACTCACCTGACTCAGTGCATGTGCATCAAGGCTGGAATCTCGGGTTCTCAGACTGGACGTAAGAGATGTTCTGAGCCAGTGTCGGTGAACAGTTGAAAGGGATTATTCAGTTTCTCTGTCTCACCTGAAGGCTCCCAACTGTGAGCAGGGCCTTCCTAATGGCCCCTGAGTTCACAGAGCCCAGGGAGAATCACCGTGGACTGAGCAGTAGTGCCGACGTTTGTGTCTCTGTACTTGGGCTCATGGGCACCACCTCTGGATCCATCCAGGGGGAAATAGACTGGTCAGGTAGGGACCGACACTCCAGGGTTGACCAGTGAGGAGGGTTCTTGAGGATTGGGTGACATTTGTTTTGGAGCCTGGGGTGGGATCAGTGAAGTGACTAAATATGAAAGGAAATAGGTGTAGAAGTCTGACTTGGGATTTTTTGTATCTTAATGAGAAAGTTGTAAGAGTTTTGTTCTCATGAGCTTTGTGTGAGTTGTGGTGTCACCATCATTTCTTGCTCTGGTGTTTAAAGATTGCATTTTGCAAAGACCAGATCATTCCTGCCTTTGCCACAGCAAGCACCAGAGCCCTGGGTTTGATGAGGCAGCATTTTGTTGTGAATGGAGATGACAAGATGAGTATGCAGGTGTAACGTTGAGTGTCGGGGGGGACACAGCCCCTCACAGGTGCTACGTGATCCTGACGACAAAGTCCTTCATACGTGTGCCAGGAGCTGAAAGGAGCCCACCCTCTTTCTCTACACTCTCGGGACCTGCAACGGCACCTTCCCGTCCTGTCCTCAGCGTCTGCTGCTGCTCTAAGGGTGCTCCCTGGGTGGGATGACACAGGGAGTCCTTCCTCTGGGATTGCTGCGTGTGCCCCGGCATCCTGGAGTCCTCAGGGCGGGACACTTGACTGAGCACAGTTTTGGCCTCTGCTCCTCACCCAATCCCATCCAATCCCAAATCCGTGGGCTTTGAATGAAACCTACATTGGCTTTCATTGGAGAGAGAGGCCCGAGTCCAGCTGTGGCTCAAGGCCCTCTGTGGCTGGCAGGAATCCTCGGGGATATGTGTGGAGGGGCTGCTGTGTTGCTGCAGGCAGTGGCTCTCGCCCTCCCTGTAGCCTGGTCCCTGGAATCCACTGGGCCCAGGGCAGAGCCTCTGGGCAGCCACCACAGGGGTCACTTGTCTTGTGACACCCTCCTCTCTGGCCCAACAGCCTTGTCCTGCTCCCCACACTCCAGTCAGGCCCAGCTTTTTCTGTGTGTCAGGCCTGCCAGGTGCCCTCCCACTTAGTCTTCCCACAGCTCAGGCAAACCCTGGGAGGCCCCCTCATTTCTGTGCTGACAACTGCTGACCTCACCTGCAGATTAAAGCAACTGGGACAAGAGGCTTTATCTTGAATTCTGTTCCATTGTTTCCAAATACTCAGAAGCTGGTGGGATTCGTTTGACGACTGAATATTTTCCAAGCCTCTAAGGTCATTCCAGGCGTAGAACAGTCACTGTATCTGTGACGTCATTCATCATCAGCTCCCACAGCCCCCAACACAACCCCAGGCCTGTGGACATCGGTCATGATCACCTCCCACGGGCCCCAACACAACCCCAGGCCTGACTGAATCTGTGGCATTGGCCATCATTGCCTCCCACAGCCCCCAACACAACCCAGGCCTGGGCAGGTGCTGCCGACCCAGGGTGCAATCTGTGTGTTGACTGGAGGCTGGCAGTGCAGCCTTGGCCTTCTTTCCGATGTTCTATTGGAGACCAGTAGGACTGGTGGAGGTCCACAAGGAGGAAGGAAATGGGATTCATGAGGGAACAGAAGCAGGCCCTACAGGAGGAGGAGGGAGGGATTCCACGTCATGCACAACGTTGTGAAGAGGGCGGCCGCCTCTTGGAGGAACAGAATGACACGGCTTCCCCTCCCTTGGCTCAGTTATGGAATGTGAGGGCTGGGAAAGTGTGTGGGAAGTCGGAGGTCCCTCCCTCGTAGCACAGAGGAAATGATACGGACTGTGGAGAAGTCTCCAGAAATGGGCACATCAGAGGCTCTGGGGTTGGCTCCACAGCCCCAGGACAGCGGAGTCTGAGGGGTTCTCTCGACAATAACTCTCCCCTTTCCTTCTTACGGCTGCCCCCATCACCGCTTCTCCTCCGGACACTCTGATGCTTGCTTCCCAGAACTGGAAGACTCCACCATTACAGGCAGCCACCAGCAGGTAATTGATCTCCTCTTATATGCTCTCTCTTTTATCCTCTTTCTGACTCATGAGCTCCTTTCTTAGCTCTGGTCCTTTTCCTCTTTCCCTCTCTTGTGATTGTTCTCCTGAAGGACCTGGTCTCATCCCACAGTCAAGGTCCTCGGGTCTTCAGTGTCAATACAATCCCTCCCCAGCCCTCCTGCCTGCTGCCTTGGCATTGCCCTGTTTACCGGCCCCCAGGCTGCAGCTTTGAATCTTGCTGAACAATCCTTCAGGGTCCAGGGAGGGGCTGGGCTGGGGTCAGATGAGCTGGACCCCACCATGCTGGAGGGACTCCCAGTGACATCTGGGTCTGCTCTGGGCACCCCCTGCCCAGATAGGACTTTTCCTGCACTGGCGTCTCTGGACATACACAACTGTTCTCCTTCTCACAGATGTCAGCAAGTTCCTCCTCTGCACCTGCAGAAGCAGCAACAGAAAAGACAAAAGTGGAAGAGGAAGTGTGAGTGTGCGGCGGGCAGAATGATGAGGGAAGCAGACACGTGCCCGTGTTCTTCATGGCTACGCTCACTTTCTTGTTGTCCCATCAGGAAAACCAGGAAGAAAACCAGGAAGCCCAGGAAGAAAACCTGGCGGAATGTCCTGAGCCGTTGGGACATTTTTAATATATTTTAGAGACCTCTGAAGGTAAGTGAGGGATGCCCTGAGAACATCCTCCAGGAAACAGACACCCACTCCAGAGCAGCCCCTGAGCCTGCTGGGCTGAGCCCTCCACAGGCTGCTTAGTGAGGGAGACACTGAGGTGCTGGTCGGGCCACCGTGTGCAGGATACCAGGGGCTGTGCACTGTGTTATTTGCTGCAGTGACACTTCAGCTCACCAGCATCTCATTTGGGGGGACCCAGCTCTGTCCGCCCAGCCCCTTGAGGCCAACAGGGAGTATCACTAGTTCATCCTGAGGAGAACTAGGGTTGACCATGAATCGCCCCCAGTTCAGGCCTCCTGGGAAAGGTGTGAGAAGGATGGAGGTACCCCCAGGCTCCTTGTCACACGAGCACGCAGCCCACGCGGCCCAGTATTGCCCAGTATTGAGGCCAGCGGGCACTCAGTAGGTCCTGGCATCGAGCAGGGGACACGGCAGGATCCAAGAAGCACTGAAATGTGCCCAGTCCTAGGGGTCCTTCAGCCTCTGGGGGGGCCTGGGGACCTGGGGTGACCTCATGGCCCCATTTTTCAAGATGAGGTTGGAGGCTTCTGTATGTAGAGAGCACTGGCTTGGGCGTCAGTGGTTCTGTATCTCTGCCAAATGCCAACAAAACAAACCCCTGAAGACATTTCAGGGCCATGCTCACTTGGGAGGGGTTGAGGGCATGATTCAGGGAGCCTCTGTTTTTTAAATCTATTTTCCAATCTTGAAATCAGGCACACATATAAACGTGTTTGTGTGTATCTATACACTGTTTTTCACTCTTTCAAATGTATGTCTTCTGTAACCCTATTATTATAGAATATACTAAAGTGAGAAATTTGTCTTACCAAAGCGTAATTTTAAAAATTACAATACAAAGACAGGTCTGGTGGGGATGTTAGAAAGACCAGGTCTTACTAGGCAATAACAATGGCGTGCTCCAGGCAGCTGTGCATATTCAATGTGCAGCTCTTCTGTCTGGATGGCACAGAGGATCTGGGTGGCAAGGCAGGGTCACCACCCCCACCCTGTGTCATGAGACCTCCTGCTCCCCTTAGGGCCCAGGGCTCTGCCTGTTGATCCTGGAATCCTCAAAATTCCCCCGTTTCTCTGTGTCTGTTTTACTCTCCAGGGAACCAGCCCCCTGAAGGTGCCTGTGTGAGCGCCCAGGTTCAGTTCTTCCTCCATGACACTTACAGACACTGTCTGTGGACAGATAACCCCTCAGCAGAGAGCAGCACACAGGCCTCAGTGCCTTGGCGTCTGAGTAGACCTGACTGTGGGGAGCTCAGGGGCCCAAGGTCACCTTCCAGGGCCCGAGGAGCTCTCTGAGACCTGCACAACCCCAGGGAGCCCCTCCTCCCTCCGCCTCTGTGCCTCCCCAGTGACCCTTGCACCTCTGTCTGTGTTGCAGATTCCACGAACACCAGGAAGGGGCCTGATGTGGGGATGTCAACTTGGCTCAGACTTGATGTGGATCGTGATTGTTTCAGGAACTGTGTTACTCCAAAAACTTTTATAATCTTTGCTTAATTTGTTTTTAAATATTTTCCTGGCTGGGCACGGTGGCTCGTGCCTGTAATCCCAGCACTTTGGGAGGCCGAGGCGGGTGGATCACCTAGGGTCAGGAGTTCGAGGCCAGCCTGGCCAAGGTGAAACCCCGTCTCTACTAAAAACACAAAAATTAGCTGGGCATGCTGGCGGGCGCGTGTAATCCCAGCTACTGGAGAGGCTGAGGCAGGAGAATCGCTTGAACCTGGGAGGCGGAGGTTGCAGTGAGCCGACCGAGATCATGCCACTGCACTCCAGGCTGGAGACAAAAAAAAAAAAAAAAATTCTGACTTTAACATCTGTTTTTTAGAGGGCAAAAATTGTTCTTTTGTTGTTTCTATTTTACATTTTTTTCCTGAAGTTATATTCCAATTGTTTTCATTCTTTCTGAAGTTTTGTTCACTCAGTTTTGAGTTTTTGTAATTTTGATAGACGACTTTTGTGCTTTCATTTTCTTAATTACTTTTACCTCATTTTTAAAACAAATCCATAGTACGGTAAGTTACATCAAGATGGAGTATTTTTGTTTTGTAGTGGTTGATATTCTGGATGTATTTTACGTATATAAGTGTTAATGGCCTGGTGCAGTGGCTACCGCCTGTGATCTCAGCAGTTTGGAAGACCAAGGTAGGAGGATTGCTTGATCCCAGGAGTTTAAGACCAGCCTGGGCAACATAGTGAGACCTCATCCCTACAAATAAAACTTTTTTTAATTAGCTGGGCATGGTGGCATCTGTCTGTAGTCCCAGCTACTTGGGAGGCTGAGGCAAGAGGATTGCTCAAGCCCAGGAGGTTGAGGCTGCAGTAAGCCATGACTGCACTCCAACCTGGTGACAGAGCGAGACCCTGTCTTAAAAAAAAAAAAAAAAAAAAGTTTATTAATATCAGTTAGAAATCTAGTTGTTTATTGCAGAACTAAACCAGTTTATAGCAGACATGAGCACTGGGAGGGAAATGTTACGTTTTCACTCCAGGCCTTGAATCCTTAACCAGCAGCTGTGTGTCCTTCAGGGTTCTGTGGTTCCTGGTCCCAGAGAAATCACTCGCTCCAATGTAACGAGTGAAGAGTTCTTTAGGTGATGGCCGCTGGGCCCAGCTTTGCTGTTGTCTTTGCTGTCTCATAAGCCTCGTGTTGCTCACGTTCAGTTGTGTGTGAGTGCACTGACTGTACCATGAGCTTCTCCAAGCACGTGCAAGCAATTTGAGAGGATGTCTTATCGGGTGGGTCAGGTGAGGGAGATAACAGGGGGCAAGAAGGAAAGTTATTAATTCACGTGAAACTACCAGCCCTTCATCGCCTAACTTGTGATTTACAGACACTGAGCACACTGCAGGCTGAGAAGGTGCTTGGTCCTTTTTTGTAGCCTTACCCTGTGCTCTTTAGAGCTGTGAGTGTGCTGCTTTTTCTCACCATTTTGTTTCTTGTAGATTGTTGTCCTTGATACTGGAAAACATTTTGAAGACAAGACTCTAGACTCTGAACAGTGGCCTATGCCACACTAGTTTATTGGAAAATGAGAAACTTACATTACTGACAAGCTTGGAAGATTTTTCTGTCCTGCAGTGGCCTGTGTTTCCCTGGTCTTCACCTTGCCACTCTGCTTTATTCTCTTTTTGTGTAGCAGTAGTTATGATGCCAACTTTTGGGGTTTCTTTGTCCTCTTCTTTTCTTCCTACCTGCCAGCATTCAAATGGCCACTTCTATTAGGTGATGGAATTCAGGAATGTATTTCTGTATATTAATCCTGATACGGTTTCACTCATCCCTCTGTTTAACATTTAGGGTACAAAGTAGTCACCGGGAGGTGCCACTCAGTATACAGCACTGTGTTTAGAAATTGAGGGAGCCATGAAATATTGAGCCTCTGCTCTCTGAGACCTCAGCCAGGTGCAAAGAAGAGATGCAGAACCGCATTTCAGGTTGTGTTACGTACACCCAGCAGCACCAAAATGTGCCTGGGAATCACAGGGGTCAGAAATTTTGAGGCAGGTATGGCTGAGGCTTTATGAAAAAAGATGGGGTCTGTGCCAGGCCTCAGATGTGGGAGAAGGAGGATGTGTCAGGAAGCAGAAAGAGCGTCACCAAAGTGCTGCTGTGGGGCACGTGGGCCGTGTTTGGGGAACAGCAGCGGCTTTGTGTGTCAGGTTTGCCGCACCTGTGGGAGGCTGCGTTGGTAAATAAGCCGCAAGAAGTAGACTGGGGTCACTCAAATTAAAATTAAAAGTACGTATGGCTTTGAAGGCCAGCTGAGTGATATAAATAGAAACTATAAACAGTATCACATTTATTGAAGACAGCTTTTGCTGCCAAAGGAGTTTTTGAACTTTTTTGGATTGTGTAGTTGGTGGGTAAAGAATTATTGACCTAAATGTATCCGATCTTTGAGTGTTTTAATATGCTAGATTATTGGAGGTGAAATGGCTAAGTCAAAGGCGATGAGTGTTTTTGAGACTCTTAATGTTAATTGCAAAATGAACCTCTAAAAAGACAGTGCCAGCTTAGACCATGACTGAGAGCTCTTGTTTTATCTTGTCCTGCTGAGCTGGGTGTTACAACATTGAAACCTTCTGCAGTGTGTTCTTTCTTTCTCTCTCTGTCTCCTCCCTTCATCCTTTTCTTTTACTTCTCTCAGGATAGGCTCATCTGTACTTTTCTGATAGAGGTAACCATTTGTCACACCATTTTCCGTAGGGCCTGCTGCCTTCCCATTCATTGGTGACGGCACATTTATCCTACCATAAGCTTTTGATAATGTGTCAGGATCTTTCTGTCCTGTCCTCTCAAAGAGGTTAAGTATTTTTTATAATGACTTATAACTGACTGAAGTTATAATAGTTTTCTAATGTCAAATATAAAAATAGGCTGGGTGCGGTGGCTCACCCCTGTAATCCCAGCACTTTGGGAGGCCAAGGCAGGTGGAACGCTTGAGTCCAGGAGTTTTGAGACCAGCCTGGACAACATGGGGAAACCCCATCTCTACAAAACAAAAACAAAACAAAAATTATCCGGCTGTGGTGTTGCAGGCATGTAGCCCCAGTTACTCAGGAGGTTGAGGTGGGAGGATGGCTTGAGCCTGGGAGGTGAAGATTGCAGTGAGCTGAGATCACACCATTGCACTTCAGTCTAGGCAACAGAATGACTCTGTCTCAAAAAAAAATGTGTACACTTTATTGACTCATGTATGTCTGATCGGTATTTTTGAGTAGAAATTGTTTAGCCACTACTTTAAAGCTTGCTTTATTTTTTTCTGAATTTTATTGACTCATGTATGTCTTAGTCTTTTTTATTACAAATTATTTATTGTTTAATCACTACCTTAGAGCCTGTTTTATTTTTTCTGAATTTTATTGACTCATTTAGGTCTTAGCCCTTTTTATTACAGACTATTTATTGTTTACTCACTACAGCCTGTTTTATTTTTTCTGAATTTTATTAAAGGATGATATTGATGATGAAATGTCTTATGATGAACATTTAGAGGTTTATTTTGAACAACTGGCAATTCCAGGAATGATGGAATAAAACATATGAAGTAGAAGGACTGGAACCTCCATAAAAAATACTTTGTTACCTACAAGTGATCCTAGTCAGGTATGTTACAGTCTTAATGGCTTTTCAGAAATTTGACAGAAAATTACTATTGATCTCATTGGATATTTACATGAATTTTAAGCCTTTGGTTTTCTTTTAACTCTGTTTTTTACAGGTATGAATTGATAAGAAATACCTGCACCTTTCCTCCTTCCTATCTTTCCCTTGCCTACAGAAAATTGAAAAGTAAAACAATGGACATCTACATATTCTTCATTCAGATTAACAAGTTGCTAGCATTTGCCACCTTTGCATTTTCTTTCTCTTTCTGTAAGTACTTTCTTCTCTGAATCATTTGAAAGTAAGTTGCAGAGAGCATGATGTTTTACCCCAACACTTCAGCATTTATCTCTTGCGAATAATGACGTATTTCTACATAATTACAATTCTACCATCTAACTATAATACAGTAATTTAATGTACAACCCATATTCAGATTTACCTAATTGTCTCCAAAATGTTCTTTATTTTTGGTTTACACCCACAGTTTAATGAAAGATTAACCTTGCCTTTGGTTGTCATGTCCCTCTCTTCTTTTACTTTGGAGTAGTTCTTTCAATACATGAAACATTTTGGAAAATCTAGGCTCTTTGTTTTGTAGAGTGACCCATAATCTGATATATCTGATGGTTTTCTTCTTCTCCTGACTAGAATAGATTGAGCATTTTGGCAAGAATACCGATTGAACAGTGTTCTCATGAGTGGATTCAGATTAAACAGAGAATAATGCCTAATCCAGATGAGGCAGTGTTGGGTACTTATTGCCTCACACCGGGGGATGTTTGAGTCTGTCTGTCCCATGATTGATGAAGCTATGTTTTGTAATTTTGGTTGAGGTGGTGTCCACTGGACGTCTCCTTGTGAAGGGAGCTTTCCCCTTTGTTCTTAGTCATCTGTGGGACGAGACATCAAAGCACTGTGAGCGTTTTATTCCCCGGCAACCTTCATGAGCTGGTTTCAGTGTCATTGCTGAAGCCTCTTGGAAACATTGGTTACACCCGTGGTTCCAATGGTGATTTTTCTCATTCCTTTTACATTGATTACCTGCCTCCTTCAATGAGGTAGATGTTGTCTGCTCCCCATGTTTTCCCCTTCAAAATGTTTAATTTTAATTTAAATGATTAATACGGCTAAGTTATTTCAACAGGCAAATGAAAACAGTAAAGTGTCAGTTTTACCCAGAAAATAACAGCGCTGGTTGCTCATGGCTCACACTCTACTGAAACGACTCAGGAAGAGCCTGAGGAAGGCCATGTTGTTTGTCTACCTGGGACTAGTAAGTATAGAAATAGGATTCCTTTGTTCTTAAAGTCTAGTTTTGACTTTACTTTTAAAATATAATTTCTTTGGTATGATTAAGCTCATGCCTGTAATCCTAGCATTTTGGGAGGCCAGAGAAGGAGAATTGCTTGAGCCCAGGAGTTTGAGACCAGCCGAGGCATCATAGGGAGACCACACACA